AACACTTTACACTTTTTGCTCACTCACAATTTTGACAAGTTTATATTCTAGTACCTTCACATTTTCCAGCACCTTTATATTTCAAGTACTTTATATAACACCTTCAATTCTAGAAATAACGACTAATTTAAAGTTTTCAATAATAAATTGAATAAAGTAAAAATCTCTTTATATAAATCAATATTTGAATTACCTCGAATAACAAATCTACATCTGAATTAACAATTGATAAACCAAGTCTTACATAAAACTAGATCAAAGTCAGGTGTCATTAAAACACAATAACAGTCGTTATCTCCAAATGCTGAAGACATCAATGAATAGCTACATCTTCTCGTGCCTCTAACTAGCACTCAGTTCATCACAGCGTCGCTAGTACCAAACCCCAACAAGGACCTAATGCACATGCCAACAAATAAAAAGCGTTAAGATTAACGTCTAGCGAGTTCAAACAGTTTTCATCATAAATCTAAAAACGGTAGAATTGAAAGATGTTATTTAAATCACAATTTCCTGAATGAAATGTATTTAGCATAAAAGCAACATCCTTTTCCAAAACTCACCATTTTCATGATGAAAACTCATTTAAGAAAACATCCCTTTATTCATGAAACTAAAGCTCAATACTCACCCGTGAGTGAATGAGATTAAATACCCAAAACATAAACAATTATCAATACCCAAACCATAAATAATGGAAAATACTCCACACCCAACACGCCATTGGAAACAAGGATACAAATTAATACCTAAAACAATACCTTTCAACGACTAAGGAGGCTTGATTTCTATGGTTAGTGGCGGAACACAAAAGTAAGCCACGGTTCCACGTTATAGAGCTAATCATGAAGATCAATGGACCCAATAGGAATAATTATTTGTGATTCATAGGTCAAGGCCCTCCCGATGATTCCAGGTACACTCATTCACTAAAAACTACATCATGTGGCCAATTGATAGTATCCAGCTCCCATAAGACCGTACCAAGTTGTCCTCGAACACCCAATGCCTATTTCTAGGTACAAAACATGGATAATCATTCCATAAAACTGACTCAGATATTACATCATGTGGCCAGTGGCTAGAGTTCAACCAACCTGTGATTTATATTTCCAAAATGTCCCATAACATAATAATATGCATTTTCCCAAACAACTACATTACAAATGCATTGTCACCAAATAATATCCACTTATAGGATAAATCATCAAAAGAACCCGCACTTATGATTTATTTATTAAAAATCCAAAACCCAAATATAGGCATTTTACATGATTTATAAAACCAAATATACTCAAGGTGCAAATTTCGTCAAATAATCAACACCATTGATAAATATCAAGAAAACATTTTTAAAACTCCAAAAACTGGACATTTTTTGCATGTTCATAGTTTTCACAAAATAACTTGAACTTACCTTGCTAGATTTTTGGCTAAATCTAGGTTTTACTGCAATATTGAGCTTCCTTTAGTGAAGACTTTAGACCCATAAACATTCATCACTAGAAACTTTATCTATATCACAAACAAACCTAAAATACACCAAGAGTATCTCCCAAATTTAGATCCATACAATCTTAGCCAGAAGCTCAAATCACCTAAAACATCCAAAACTTAAATACTTTGAAGATACATCAAAGGGATGTTCTAGGAGGTTAAAAAAAAAGGTTTAACATGAATAAAGGTTTGGAAAGGTTAGGTTGAACTTATAAATCATTTTTAAGGAAAACCCAAAAATGTAATCAACAATGATGGAAGTGGTTGGGGAAGATGAAGATCTTGCCTTTGGGTCCCCAAGCTTTGAATCTCTAGATTCAATCTCAACACTTCATGAAGACATCGGTGTGGGTGAAGTGAAGATGCTTGGACCAAAAATAGATAAGAAGAAATGAGTAGGTGAGAAATCAAATGAGAAAAAGAGAGAGGGAAATCCATCTTAAAAAGAAGACTTGCTCTTTCACGGACTTCCGTCAGATCCAACAGAAAAATGTTAAAGGATATATGGATCTCACGGATTTCCGCGGACAAGATCCACAGATCCAGTAGAATTATTTTCTTCAAAAAATTCTCTTGTTTGATTCTCTAAATAATATGTAATAATTCTTACATGACCCAAGAAATATTACGTATCATAAAATCTATTTAAATAAAGAAAAAACATGGGTGTTACACTTAAATTTCCAAGTACTTTACATTTCATGCACTTTACGTTTCTTGCAACTCTACATTCTAACACTTCACTTTTATGCTATTTACATTCATGTCTTCACTTTTTCCAGCAAAGGTGGGTTAAAACTTAAAACTCTTATCTTGGGTGTGAGTAAGGGTTCAAAGATTAGTCTAAGTGTATGTGGATAATTGTTTTTACCATAGAAATTGACTCCTTTATGCATTCATTGTTGCAACGTTACATCTATAATATTTGACAAAGTGACGCATGTTTGTTTTTATTTAGATGGAGTTGCTTTGTAGAACATAAATGTTAAAACTTCGAGTGTTGTAGATAGCCATTTTGTGTTGCAGCGACTTTCATAAGGTTGCAATTACGAATAGTAGTATCTATACCAAGCTTGGATTGTGTTCTTTGAATACTGCCAGTGGATATTCCGTCTTACTTCAAAATAAGACTATTCAAACTAATAATGGTGTTAAAGCTTATAACTACATCATTCGTTTCAGATGTTGTAGCAAGGTTTTGCTGCACTTTCATAACTGAAATCTCAACATGAACTTGCACCCATGTTTTTTTTTTAATTTTCCTTACTTAGTAGATTGTTAACTCAATCCTAAATCAATCTTTCGAATTAACCATCTGAGATCATTTTTAGGAAAAAAAAACTTGTTGGAAACTCTTACTTTCATTGTCCCTGAGGATTGATAACTTTGTATTCTTACCACTATTACTTGTTTCCAGGCGATATGATGGACATGTATAATTGTGCATTCTTCTATTTGTTATAGTCTTTTAGGGTATTCTTTCTGACACAACAGTAATTAAGAATTAAAATTACACATAGATAACTTAGCCATCAAAACACCCAACAAATGAGATCAAAATTGTGTCCCCGAATGGTCGTATGAAATCAAAATGTGTATAGATACTAAGAAAAGCTCCAAAGCGCAAAGGCATGCATCATTGCATATTTAATGCAAGCATACAATTAAATCCTGAGATCTGACAGATGGCTTCTCAAACCCTAGTATACCAATAGATCATGTATCAGTAAGATGGTTTCAAGAACCTCTCATCAATTTAGGGTTACATCAAGCACGATAGCGAGTTTATGAAAACAAATTCAAATTATATATCTAAGGACCAGTTGATTACACTAAAGTCTAACAAATCTTCCAGTTCTTATCGATCAAACAAACAATCAAAAGAATTAGGTTCAATTCATCAAATACAATTAAAGAAAAAGAAAGGAACGGGGGATTGGAGAGATCATACATGAGAACCAATTTCATAGCACTTAGTGTTGGATATTTGTCCACCCTTGTCCCACATAGGAAAAAGAATGAACTTTTCATGTGTTTATATTGCCTTACATACATGGATTAGCAAGTTAGAGAGAGGCCCAAATGAAGGATTGACCTTGGGCTTGGGTGTAGCAATACCCAATATTAATGGTCAAAAGATGGGCCTTGGGCCTTATGACCCGGTTACGGTTTTACCCGACACCCGCGACCCATCCGTAACTGCATTTTTCGGTTTATATTTTTTTAGGGGGGCTGTTCGTTCACTTAGAACACACGCACAAACAGAGATTTCTCTCCATAATTTTTCTCTCTATATCGTTGCTTCATGGAACGTATTATCGATTCGATGGAATCGGATTGACGTGCATCAATCCGGTTAGATAGTTGTATCCTCAAGACGACGTCCGTTTACCAACGCACGATTGGGGGCGAAATTTCGTCTTAGGACACTGTTTCGGCAGGCCTCTATCTCACGATTTTTGCATATAGATATCATCGTAAAGGTTAGAATTTTACTAACTTTCTTGGTTAATTTTCTGATTATTACTGTTTTAATTTAGTTTGGAAGGATAATTCTATAATTCGTTGGTCTGGTTCTAACACTTAGAGACTTCGAGATTAATAGTAAAAACCGGGTCGAATATGGGAAGTGTGTGTGTGCATTTTAGTAAACGGGGTTTGTGAGGTTTAAGGTTTATGGAGATTAGGCTCGAATACAATTTCGGCATATTGGGGAGTAAGATATGAAAATACTTGAAAACTGCCATATTTCTTTCAGGAATGTTTAGTTTTTTCTTACAGTTATCGCAAAAATAAGTATCGTTAAATTCATATTATTCTTTATCTTATTAAAATCAAAATAATCAATTTCGGATAAACACATAAGATGATGTTTTAAGAAAACTAAATTTCAAGATAAATATAAAAGTATATAACTTTTTCTATCTTTAATTAAAAACCGCATATCCCCTGTAACTAAAAAGCTAAGAACTAAAACATACTATATTAGATTTAGAGACCTTTTTTTCCCCGTTTGATGGTTTTGGTAGTTTGTATGGCTTAATAGCTCGTCATACATGAGTCTTTGTTTGTGACTTATTCATTAAGGTGATGGCTTAATCGGTCTGATAAATGGGTTAGTTTAATCTATTAAGCCATAACTCTCCCCAAACTACCCTTTACTCATCTGGCAAAGATTCAAAGTTGTCGAACATGAAGCCGATGTTGTGGCTGGATAAAAGAGTTGATAATGGAATTCAACACGTTTATGAGTGTGTTGCAATAATCGAGGTGATTTTTTCAATATGAATAATGAAATCATCAAGCAACGGGTAGGTTTTATTGGCACACATTTGCATTTTCAATGAATGTTCAAACTCAATAATAAAATACATAAAGTATAAGGATAATGGAAGATATACAAATACTTTGAATATAGTGGTTTGCTCCACTCCCCAGCCCCATCCATTTCAAGATACCAATCCACACGATGAAAATTTGTGTGGTATAATCAAAAATCACAGTACAAGATTTATACATGTATTTCATTTTTTTTGTTTTTCTAAGCAAGAAGTTGTTAGATCAACTCACACATATACAATTATATTGCAATATCAAAGTGAAAATACATGTCCGTCACACCCGTAATTCCGTTGTTATTATTAAAATATAAATTTCGGGATTTATCGAATTATTCAGTTGCCAAATTGAAAACATTAAGCTCTCAGTACAAGCACATGCCGTTCACTCCGTTGGGTTCCATAGTTTATAAGAATGTTGCGAGTTTGAATCCAGATGCAAGGCTAGTTAAGAACCCATATTTAAATGCAAGTCTACTTCAAACCCATATTCAGATGCAGAAGTATAACCAAGATGCGTAAACAATGGTGTCCTTGAGGGATGAGGTTTTGAATTTTGTTTAAAATTTTAATTGATAAGTCCATGTTGGAGATTTTAGGGTTTCAAATTTTTTTCATTTTATATGATTGTTCTCGATTTCAACCTCTTTTCTTCTGGCACATGCATATTCCCCAGGCAGCCAAAGATCCTAACGTACTCAACATTGGGTTTTAAACCACTCCAACACCCCTATGGGGTCTTGTCCTTTACTGCCGATGTAGGACTTCTATTGATAATGTGACATGTCCATTTTGCTGCTTCGGGCCAGAAGGGCCTTTGGCATTTTCTTTTCTTCAAGAAGGCAACGTACCATGTTAAGAATTGTGCGATTCTTACGCTCGGCTACCCCATTCTGTAGTGGCGTGTATGATGTGGTTAGTTGCCTCTTTATGCCTTGTATAGTGCAGAACTCCGAAAATTCCTTGGAGTTGAACTGCCCTCCCCTACCAGTTCTCAAACTGCATATTTGAAGGCCAGACTCCTTTTCCACCATACTTTTGAAAACTTTAAAAACTGCAAGGGTTTCACTTTTTTCACTTAAAAAGTAAACCCATATCTCGCGAGTGAAGTCGTCTGTAAATGTCAGTATATATCTCTTACTTCCATGCGATTCCGGGGTGATTGGTCCACAGAGGTCTGAGTGTACCAACTGCAACTGTCTTGTTGCTCTCCATGTGCTCTTCTTTGAAGAAGATACCCGATTCTGTTTTCCAACCATACAACCTGCACAAACCTTTGCTGGGCTCTTGAATGTTGGCGTTTCTACCAACCAGATTCTTGTTACTAAGAATTGTCAGATTCTTGTAACTTAGATGTCCTAACCTCCTGTGCCAAAACTCACTTGCTTCTGTAGTGTTAGCATTAAAACAAGCAGACTCGCTAATAAGAATATTGGTATCAATAGCGAACATTCGATTTGCTCTCATGACACTTCCTATAATACAAACTCTTTTTGAATGGTACAACTTGCACACTCCATCAGCCATCAGAATAGTTATGCCTCTGTCCTGAAGCAGACCCATACTAAGCAAATTGTTGCATAACTCAGGAACAAAAAACACATCAGTTACCGTTTGAGTCTTCCCCTTGAATTCAATAACGATGTTCCCTTTTCCCATCACGTCTATCCTAGAGTCGTTTCCAAGTTTTACTGAATGCCTGAAAGTTTCATCTAGTTGCACAAACCACTCCTTACTGGTCATGTGATTCGAGCATCCCGAATCAAGAAACCATACTCCTTTCTTTTGTTGACTTAAATCGGTGTGCGCCATTAACAGCATCTCTTCTTGGTCAATGAATTCTGCATAGTGTGCTTGCTTCTCTCCGTTGGGACACTCGTATTGAAAGTGCCCTAGATTGTGACACCTGTAGCACTCTACTAAGGCTTTGTTGAATTGTTGTCGCCATCTGCCCCTTCCTCCTCTTCGTGACACGCCTCTGGCTCTTTCCCCTTCGTCCCTCAGAAGATACTTTCAATGCTTGTTCTTCCTCGACCAGTCCCTTCATTATCTGCTCATGAATCAGGAGGCTGCTTTGAAGCTCGTCTACGGTCAAAGTTTCTGTGTTGCTGGACTCTTCTATGGAACATACGACATAGTCAAACCTCGGAACAAGGGACCTCGTAATTTTTCTTATGATATCACTTTCTTTGATAGCCTCTCAATATTCTTCATCCTTTTTGCTACGGATAAGACACTTCCAAAATAAACATTAATTGTTTCTCCTTTCATCCTCAGCATCTCGAATTCAGTCTTCAATCCTTGAAGTTGCGCTCTTTTATCCCGTGTTGAGTCTTTGTACTTCTGCTTCATAGAATCCCAAATCTGCTTTGAAGTTCCATCATTCAGGATCGCCTCCATAATCTCTCTATCAATGGCTTGATAAAGGTAGTTCTTCACTTTCTTATCTTTCAACTGATTATCAGCAATCACCTTAGCCTCTCCTGCAGTTAGCTCTCTTCCTTGTGGAGGAGCAGGAATCCCTTCTTCAACCATACTCCAATACTCTTTGAATCGCAGAAAATTCTCTATTAATTTCGGCCAGTGCTCGTAGAAGCCATCAAACTTTGGAATGGCGGATTGAACGAACATGTCCTTGTTACAGCCATACTTTCTCAGAATTCCTCTCCTCTCGTGTTTATCTCTCAAGAGTTCCTCTCCTCTCTGTATCAGGCTCTGATACCAATTATTGAACAAAGAACAATAACAGTATTATTGAACAAAGAAACAATAGCTACTGCTTGTATTTGTAGAAATGAACTCTTGAATTGATAAAGAAAGCTAGAGCCATATTTATAGCCCAAACAAGAAACTGAAAAACAAAGATAAAGCAACTAGTATTGATGACTAGGTCTAGCTTATTAATTAGAAAGTATTCCTAAAGACTAGGACTATTATTGAATAAACAAAGAAACTTTCAGACTCTAAAAACCATTAGCTCTGCTCCAACAGATTGAAACAAGATCCCAATCCCACTTCGAATATACTAGGTTTAATTGTTGTCTTATAGAAATAACCCTTCTTTGAATATACTAGGTTTAATTGTTGTCTTATAGAAATAACCCTTCTTTGAANATACTAGGTTTAATTGTTGTCTTATAGAAATAACCCTTCTTTGAACATACTAGGTTTGATTGTTGTCTTATAGAAATAACCCTTCTTCGAACATACTAGGTTTAATTGTTGTCTTATAGAAATAACCCTTCTTTGAACATACTAGGTTTNATTGTTGTCTTATAGAAATAACCCTTCTTTGAACATACTAGGTTTAATTGTTGTCTTATATAAATAACCCTTCTTTGAATATGCTAGATTTGATTGTTGTCTTATAGAAATAACCCTTCTTTGAATCCTCAAGCTGTCATCTTAAAAAAAAAAAACCCCTCTGATTCAGACCAACAACTAGCAGAGCATGGAAACCCATATCAAAATCTTCACTGATATCATCACTCAGTTGAAAAGAATTCATTTTTGAGAGTAATGTGACTAACAATAATAAATATGCTACATACCTTCTCCATCTTAATCATTTGCTCATAAGATGAAGCTCCTTTCTTTGTAGGTAATCCTGTCCTCATTTCTTTTTCCATGACCTTGTCTGATTTTCTTCATTTGCTTCGTATGTTCTTTTAATTCTTACCAGAATCTCAATTTTGTAAATAAATTTCTAATGAGCTAACATGATATTTAAAAAACACTCTTGTCATCGAACCTCTGTTTGTCGTCTTAAGCAGCAACCTTTGCCACCCAATTGCATCGAATTTGCCTCCTACCAAGCCACTTTCCTACAATATAAACTGAAATGAATAACAAAAAATCTAGAATAAATCTATTTTAAAAGTCCAGATATGCTTCTTCAATAGAATATTCAACATAAAAGACAAAAACCATGTAAATAATAAAATTCACACCATTCAGAAGGTTTAGATAAACAAAAAAAAAAATCAAAGATTTTATTGAGGAACTTAACACTAAGTTGGTTCGAAGAGACATGCCCGTTACCAATATGTGATATTAGTTCTTGCCTATTACATTGAATCCAATCAAGTTGCCTATTATCAAAATGACCATTTGTCAACTCTGAGAAAACAAACTGAAAGAAATGTCGCAATTGAAACAAATAGAAGATGTACAAATAGTGGAAAAAAAATAAAAGAAGTCTAAAAACCATCAAAACATTAGCTTGTTCTCTACTATCTAATAAAGAAAGTCAAGCCATAAAGCAAGATAGCCAACTATCAGGTTGCTCAATCTCAATCTACTATCCTAAGGTGTTCAAGTCATAGTAAAATAAAATTGATACTAAACTCGAAAAATGAACATCATGCAAAGCATCCTCCTAAAATAGATAAACTTACAGCTAAAATTTCAAAATGAAATGGAAAGAAAAACGTAGAGTGATATGGCATTTTCTTTTCCAACCAGAATCCTCCTAATACCTACAAAACACTTCTTACCAAGAGTTCTGCACTGTGTGAGAATCTGGCTTCCCTCCTATTCAAACCGCTAAGTATATAGAGCAGTAACTCTCATTCAAAGCTGACCGTGAACTTGGGTCTAAATTTTCCAGGACGACATGGATATCCATCCTATTGCAGAAAGGAGGAAAATTAAACAAAAACGCAAAACAATAAAAAATACAAAATACAAAAAAAAAAACTAATCTCCAAAAAAGAAGTTCAAGCAAGAAGATAACTTATGTCACTTGGTAGCAAGACTAATCGACGCAATGTTACTAAAGTACTCATGAAAAAAAATATATACTCAAAGTTCACGTCTATCTGAAACTATTAAAAGAAAAGCATCATTTCGTTGATTTTCTATTCTTCAACAAAACCTGATGCAAATACACCATGGAAAGAACCCCAGTAGAAAACCAAATCCTAAATTTATGGAGTTCTTCAAGATTTTCCATAAGAAATAAAAGAAATTCCTCAAAAAATTCGATAAAAATTAAAAAAAAAATTCTTCAAGAAGCAATAACGATGTCTCCATGATCTGTACAATTTCATTGATATCTTACCAGGACCAAATGTTGAATCTGATATGAAGAAATCGATCGAGAGATGGAGAGAGCCAATGACTTACAAAGATGCAGAGCAAGAGAATGAACCTTAATATGTTAATTACAACTTACAAGGTCGTAGACACACCTCGAGAGCATGTACGGCCTCCTTGAATCATCATCTTTCCACCTTGAGAACGTAAACGGTTGGACCTGGCGTATGAGCGTGTCCCTATGTAAGCCTGGCTCAACATTGAAAACATATACAAGCTGATACAAGTTGTAAATTATGCATATGAAGTTGTAGTTCAGATGTTTTAAAAAACGATGCAATAAAAGGCAGTACTTGGTGCTTTGCAAGTTGTTCTTAAGACCTTTTTCAAAATGCTTTATAAGATACTATAGATTAATATGTGGCTCTTAACCTAGCACCACCAACTGAGAGACATCTCAGTCATTTCGCTTATCTTTTTATACAACAAAATTGGATGTAAAAGTTTTTAAAAGACAGATACAACCCAACCCCATGTAATATGCTCAAAAAATGAAAAATCTTTCTCCGATCACAGCCATTTAGACAAAATCCATTGTGGAGAATAATCAGTTTTTAATGTGCTTTATTGATTATTTTAGAATCATTTTTTTATAAAAAACTGATTTTTATTGAAATAAATATAAAATTATATAAACCATCCTTATAATGATTAGAGCATCCAGCCTTATGCAGAGCAGCAGTGACCGGTAGCATAGTTACAAACAACCACTCAACTGAAATCACCAATAATAATGATTGATATCAAATCAAGTACGTTAACTAATAATATTATGACACAATCTACAGAATTCTTGATCCATGTTATAAAATTCAAAAAATTCAATAAGGACACCAAGCCTGAAGAGCAGTTGGTTAGCACTTTTATCAAATTCAAACTACTCCGCAGTTGGCATAAATGAGATAATATTAAAGTTATGTTACCTGAGATGTATTTTCTTCATAAAACATGATCTCAAACTTCACATATCCTTGAATATTGCACTTCAGATAACTTACATATCCTCCAGGTGCAGGATCTCATCAACATTTCCAGGAATGAGGTACTTGCAGCAAAATTCCAACTTTCAAGACATGCTAATATTCTTCCAAGGTTAATCTAGTCCCCTTATGACTCAAAGCCTGGTACTACATCCAATGCAATGCCGTCTAGACTATGATTTGGTTGATAGATTTGGTGAAAAATAAGTGAAGCTTTGGTTCACAAAATTTATCAACTGCCATTAAGAAATCAATCAATCAGTTTGTTTTCCTCAATCTCTGCACTTCCATGGCAATCATCTTCTTCGTCAGTCTCACCATCACTTTCCACATTAGAATCTGAACCTTCTAAGTTCCCCTGTCCGTTGTTGCTGATATTGTCCTCGGTCCAAGACTTTTCAGAAATATTTTTGACATCGATCCTGTCCATATGATTAGCCACCCTTTCCCTCCTATGATAAACAAGCTCATGATCCATATTGGGTCTCCTCAATGTGATCAACTTAGCCAATTGCCTCCTAGCCAAATACAGCTCATTTGGCTCAATCAATTCACCCTTGTTATAAGCCTCTCTAAGAAAAATCGTATGAAGCTTCCCATAATTTCCCCTGGTAGAAATATAAAATATACCCTGATGCTGAAGAAGAAAATCTTTAAGCTTTTTCGGCAAATTCATAGTAATCCTAAAATGAGCAATCCTCTCCAAACTTATCTTCTTTTCTACTGTTAAAGACACAATTTCATGAATCATTGCAATTGCTCTCTTGTCCATTCTGTTCTGGGCCTCAAGCGATCTCATGTCATAGCCAGATACATCTTCATATGGCGACCAATAAGGAAGCCTTTGCCATTTCCAAACAGCAATCTTGTAATACTTCCCAATCTTGAACCCAGGTGGGAAATTGACGATAAATGAAAATCGAATGTTTTCAGCATCTCCACCCTTTTCTCTGTATTCCTTCTCCCTAATTTTCTCTATAGCACAAACACCTAGAACTGGATCTCTCTCTACTATCTCAATGTACTTACTCCTACTTCCTTTATCTTCAAACAATCTGAAAAATTGTGGGTGTTTCAGAATTACCGAAAACTCGAAGTCCTCCGGGAATCCAAACTCTCTCCTTGCAATCCGAACATGCTCAAGCCCCAGCCGTCCAGTATTAGACAGCATCAGAAGCTTCCTCAGCCTGGTCACGGCATCGCTGATTTGATCAATAACAGCTTCATTTTCCTGTTGAATTTGGATCAGGGCTTTTCTTGTAAGCCTGCAATAAAGAATTCTTTGAACTGGGTGTTCGAAAACATCAAAAATATGTGGAAATTTGAGAACGAAACGCCCAGCTTCGAATTGTTTGAAGCCGAGTCGGCGAGAAAGATTGTCAAGACGAGCAGATGCGACCATAGAGTTGGGCTGAGAGAGGATTAATTCTTGAACTTTAAGGACTTTGCGCATTTTTTTCTCGATTTCCATGTAGTTATCATATCCATGATCTCGGACTCGTTGTTGCTTTCTAGGTATTGATGTTGATTGTGAAAAATCGCGAAGAAAGCAGTGAATCAATGTAAGCTTTGAGGACTTGAGCCTATTTTGTAACTCCCTCTTGCATTTAGAATTTGCAAACAAGAAGACCTAAATTGGGAACATTTACAAGTTGTGAACTTTTGAGGTAAGATAAAATAATTAAAACAGTGACCAAATTGTAAGCAAATAACAAACCACAAATGCATATAATAAAAGGCACACTAGGAGTGGCTCATCAAACATGGGAAACAAGTGAAAGAATAATGATGTTATTTACCTGAGAATCAGACTGAATAAATCTAATGCCCTTGCCAGGATATATCATATGGCCACTGAAACGGCAGAGCACAGTCCTGCAGAAAAGCAAGACAGATTTTAAATTAGAACCAACACTAATAGCATCACTGAGAAGCACCAAATATAGATGCACGATGTGGTGTGGTCATAATGATACCAACACATAGCATCCCCAATCGAAACTAAAACAAAAGATCAAATTTCAATAGCCTATTGGCAAACAATCCCATACACAACTTAGCCATAAAAAAACCCATCAAATGAAATCGAAATTACGCCCCGTATGAACACGAAATCAAATGTGTATAGATACTAAGAAATCTCCAAACAGAAAAGGTAGAAAAGGCAGACATCATTGCAGATTTAATGCAACATACAGATCATGTACCAGTAAAGGCTTATGAAACCCTAGTATACCAACAGATCATGTACCAGTAAAGGACCGGTTGGTTGGTTTTTCATTAAGTCATGTGTGGATAAAGGACCGGTTGGTTGGTTGGTTTTTCATTAAGGGATTGTTTGTTTACCTCTTAATAGTTCCATTAAGAGGCAACCTCTGAATCCTTAAGAGGTGGAAAAAAAAGTCTGTCTCTTAATAGTTCTAAAACCCTCTGAATGATTTTGTATCATGGACCTCCCTTAACCATTAAGCGTCATAATTTCATTGTAAACAATTACCAAACAATTATATTTCCTTTTGCACTATATCATGAGAGCCCCTTAATCATTCTGACCATTTAATTATTCTACACCAAACTATTCAGCAACTACCAAACAGCCCCTAAGTCATGTGTGGATAAAGCTGGTTGTATGGAATAATTTGTCTGTATAGATTGAGATACCTTCTTGTTTGTTTGTTGTGCTGAATAAATGGTCTGAATATCATATATGACTATTTTACCCCTCATTGTATATTAAGCAACGATTAACATAACTATTTGATAAATATGATGAATGGTTGATTCTAAACGATAAAAATTATCAATTTAAAAAATATTTTGAATAAAAAAACCTTTATCAAACTAAATTATATGAATTCAATGACATAATCACAACAAAATTTAGTAAGTACTTATAGTTAAAATAGATGAAATCATAGTTCAGATACAAGTTTTTTTGGATGAGTTTCCTAGGCTATGGCCAGATTGACATCAACCCCGATAAACTCAATGGCAACAGTTGTTGTGAACGCCTGGAAACGAACACCAGGGGATATTCTACCACGTGCCCTTGGACCTCAACCACTACGCCACAACCCTTGTGGTTGTTTGGATACAAGTTCATTTGCAAGAGAAGAAGGAAGTATGTTGAGATGGCAACAATTTTGGAAACTTGCAAGCTTGTTGTTCCTTGTCAATTAGCATGTATAAAAACCACGTACCCTCTCAACTCAACTCAGCCATCTTCCAAGAAATTGATCAACCAACATTAACCATTTTCTTAAATAAATTGGGGCTATTAGTTAATCCAACAAGCATTACCAAATTAACCAATATTTGCAAAAAACTTAAGCAACTGAACCAATAATACATATAGGTGAAGACGCGAAGTAGAACCAATTGAACCAAGTTATTTCAAGACCAAAGATAGATCAACTACCCAAAAGCAAAAAAGCTGAAAACCAAAATCAATTGTGTCATCAATACAAGTAGTAGCCTATGCTGTTAAAATCGCAATATATCGTCGATATATCGGATATCGCTCCAAAAAAAAATCGAAACTCAAATATCGGTCAAAATATCGGGAACGATATTATCGGCGATATTTTCCGATATTTAGCGATTTTTAGCGATATTTTGAGGTAAAAATCGGGCCGATATACCGATTTTATAAGGTYTAAAAATTTGGGCTGATAACTTATTTTGTTATTTCATGGGCCTAATTTTTTGGGCTGATAACTTAAATTTCTTATTCCATGGGCCTAATTTTTTGGGCTGATAACTTAAATTAGGTCTGAATCTTTCCACAACGTCTTCTTCTTCTTCACGTTCAACTTCAGTGTCGACTTTTTCTTCACAAATCACACTTAGACTTCAACTTCAGTCTTCAGACTTCGACTTCTTCAGTCTTCAGACTTCGAATTCGACTTCGAATTCGACTTCAAGTCTCGACTTCTTCTTCACACTTCAGTCTCGACTTCTTCAGTCTTCAGTCTTCAGATGATGTGATGTTTTAATTTTGAAACTATATTTCTAAACTCTAATTAATGCATATTATATATATAATTCTAAGAAATATTATGTTAACCGCTATTTCCGATATATCGAATATCGGTCCTGACTGATATTTCGTATTCTGACCGATATAACAGCATAGGTAGTAGCATTTCTTTGAGGCAAACAGTTTATGAGCTTCACCTACAGTCTGCTGTTTCTTCTTCAACTCAAGAACACATTCAAAAGAACATGAAAAGGAATCAAAATTACGAAGGATAAGTTAATAGAAGTAGAAGAAAGAAACCATGAAGATGTCGATTGATTCAGAAAATAATCGAGGCCAAAAAAGCAAAGCTTAAATCAAAAGAAATGTAGAGCAGGGAGTAACATAATAGCTAAAGGACTTATGTTGTTGTTTACTTTTCTATCTGAATCAACAGTCTGAATTTTCTATCAAGTCCTGTATGGATAGATAAATTTGTCTGTCTGGATAAATTTATGTTGTTGTTTACTTTTCTATTTGAATCAACAGTCTGAATAACAGAAATGAAATTTACCTCTGAGGATGAACTACGCGCTGTTTAATAATTGTTGAATAAACCCAAATGGAACCAACTATTTAACCAAGTGTTTTAAACACAAAACAGTAGCTATAGCTATGTATTGAACCAATCATTGAACCAACAACAATTAACAGCAATAGGAAACAACAAAATCAATAGAAACAGCAAGGTGTTTGGGATTATATAAACAGCAAACAGCAAACCTAAAATAGATTCTATCAAACAGCAACAGCGATAGAAACAACAACCTAATCGAGGTTTATGCTAAACATGTGATCAAACAGCAACAACAACTATAAAATAAACAGCAACAACAACTATAAAATAGCAAATACGGCAACCTAATCGATGTTTATGCTAACTATAACAACAAATACAGCAACTATAAAACAACAAATACATAAATAGCAAACATCAAACAGCAACCATAAGACAGCAAATACACATCAAAAAAATCCAAAAATCGTTGAAGAACAGCAAACATCAAAAAATCGACTGTGACTTGTATACCAGCAAACATCAAAAAATCGACTGGAGGAGTATAGTAGTTACCGATTAGGAGAAGAGGGCCGTGAGTGATGGAGAAGAACCTGTCAATCGATGGAGGAGAAGAGGGTCGTGAGCAATGGAGAAGAACCTGTCGATCGATGGAGGAGAAGAGGGTCGTGAGCGATGGATAAGAGGGCTGTCGATCGATGGAGGAGAGAGGCCTTCGATTAGGGTTCTGTAAACAGTTTGGATCGATGGAGAAGAGATGTGCGATTAGGGCTGTCGATCGATGGAGGAGAAGAGGCGGGGTGTTTCTTGGAGACGCACTATAAGATAAGGAAGGCTAGGGTAGTTTTTGGCCGGCTTAACCTCGACAACCTCCTTCTTTCGTACGGGTGAATAAGCCCATTTTTGAGCGATTAAGCCCGAGGTAAACAGACTATATGAATAAGCTTATTTATCCGCTAAACTCGTTAAGCCACAAGTAAAACCCTAGACATACCTGAGGTTGAGAACCATGGCGGCCGCAGCTTGTGTGACGACAATGAAGATGTAAACAAAACGGGCGACACCCGATTCTCACATAGCAGCATCGGCAGCATTATGATTTTGTTTTAGAAAAACATTTAACGATACATCCTTGTGGAATTAAAAGTTGCGATTTTAACCCTTCATTCTAGTTTTTTATAATTTTTTTTAATTCTTTTATTTCCTCCTTTTCTTTTTTTATATAAAATTATTTATATACTCACCACCGAACATTTATCTATATTATATTATATAATATTTGACAAAAACTCTTAAAAATCATTTTTTATGCATAAAATATTGTTTATTAATGCATATTATTTAAAATTCAATATTACAAATAAATTGTTTGTAAATACAACTTATTAAAAATTCATGTTTGAATTTGTATAACTAACTGCAGATAAACATTTCATTTTAAATATAAAAAATATAAATATAATTAAGATAATCATTGAGTTCTAACATATTATTTAATTATTATCCTTATAAAAAATTTATTAAATCAAAAATAAAATTATTTCGTTATTAAATCTAAATTAAATTATAATAAAAAAAATTGAATTAAAGAAATTACATAAAAACAAAAACATTTAAATAATTAATTTGATACTAATATTGATATATTTATTTTTTAAATTTCATGATATCTTCATGTTTATATTTTATTCAAAAATAAAATCATTATTCATTTCTCAAAACAACATAAAAACCATATTAAAACATCTACAAAGACGGAATAAAACGAAACATTAAGATATATATATATATATATATATATATATATCGCTGCATTACACGAGTACCCTTTCTAGTTTATATAAAAATATGATGGATTTGGAGAATTCAATTCAATTCATTTATAAATTATATTTCGTTAGTAGGATTTAGGATGTGATTAAAATTTTAGTTTTTGTAAGTATTTGTTTGTTTGTAAAGAATTTGTTTTTATTGGTAAATTATCTTTTTGTTATTGATTTTTTGAGAATTGTATATTTAATCATCTACGTATTGGGATGCAAAAAAAATACACAAATATAGTTTTCAGTGGGGGTGTTTCGTAGATAATCCGTCGGAAAAATATTTATTAAAAAAACAAAAACACATGATTTTGGTATTACCTATGGACATCCCATCAGTCAACAATCCACCGGCAATACCAAAAAATGTTTTATTATTAAAAAAGAAAACGTTATTTTGGAATTACCAGTATACATCCTCATCCACAGTAATACCAAAATCATGTTTTCTTAATAAGTAAAACATTTTTTGGTATTACCGGCAAATGAGGGTGTCCTCGCTAATCTGTTGATGATACAAAAATCATGTTTTTTAAATAAAAAAATAACAATTAATTTTGATTGATTAAAATTACTAGCATAAGTTAATTAAAAAAAATAATTATTTAAGTTTTGCAGGTAATTTTAGTTAATTAAAATTAATTACTTTTTAATTTAAAAAAATGGGTTTACCTATTCATCGGAAAAGTAACCGGATTTTTTTGCTGCTTCTTTCTCTCTCTCTCTCTCGAACCGACGACTTGCTGTTCTTCTCAATCAATCAGATGTTGCTACTTCTCAATCAACCAGATGTTGTTGTTTCTCCCCGATCGAACCGACGACGTGCTCCCTCCCTCTCGCTCGAAGAAAACTGCTTCTTTGTTGGGCTGCTTGCTGGACTGCTTGTTGTTGTTGGGCTTCTTCTGTTGGGCTACACATGATGAGATCAACAACAACAACAACAAAAACGAATAATCAAAATCTTGTCCCCTTTTTTTTCAACTTGAATAACCTCAAATAATTAAATATCAAGTTAAACTAAATTAGAACTTTTAAGCATCTAGTTAATATTAATTACTAGGTAACTTTAGCATAAAAATATATAAAATTGGCATTTATCAAATTCCCCCACACTTAAATTATTGTCCGTCCCGACAATGACTGAAGTTAGCATGTAGTTATAAAAACGAATCAAATAAGAACATCAACACGTATAGAATATTTTAAACGTAAGAGTTGCAACTTAGCTTCAATTATAGGATCTACCCAATCAAAAAGGCACAAGCTAATCTCGAGAACTCTCATGAATAGGATTAACAAAATAACACTGAAACCACTCCTTGGGGCTAAAATGTATCGCTCAAACCTTCACTACACTAGCATGTACCTACCATATGCTTGAAAAGTCTCTCACCCTTCACTACTTGGATAAAATACATGCAATTAAATCAAAAGGTCTTTTAGAGGTAGTAATGTAAAATAAGGCTTCAGGTAAGGTAGGAATATATTCTAGAAAAGAGTGACTAAGGACCTTACACCAAATTGAGGACCCGGTTATCATGAAAATTTCATTTCACAAAGGACTCATCATGTATATCTTTGAAGTACATTTCCCTTTGGATGATAGGAAATAAAGACGAAACATGTATATTCAACCTTATTATCATTTCTGTCGTCTACTTTATTTCTTTCTTGATAACATGTCTTTTTTTTCATAGATTTGTCTTTTTGAATTTTTCTCTTGTTTTTCATTCACTCTTTTATTTTATTTTCTTTCTTTTCTTTCCTGACATACAAATACAACTTTCGAGCATAAAGGGATACCAAGACTACTCCATTGGTGATTGGTCGGATGAGTCGCGTTTGGATTGGTTCATGATGTGGGTAACAAAGGAAATAGGCTAAGGCTCAAAGTGGTGTGCAAAAGAGTAAAAATATCATAAAAGGATAAGCTAAAGGCCAATGGTTTAACATAAAAAATGATCAAACGATGGCCTTTATCATATTTATTAACATGTAAATATCATGTAATCTTAAGTAGAGACAAGTCAAATTCTAGAGGCACATAACTAGGCATGATGTAATCACAAAAGTAATGAAATTGAGACTAATATCAAGTGTTTAGTCTAATAGGCTCAAAGTCTCACGGTGGTAAAATTGTGCAAGAGATTAGCAAGAGTCTAACTTTAACCGGTATACTATCACTATTCAACTCCAAGCGTTATCAATCAAACTCAATCATGTTATGCATGCATCCAAACTCATCATCATCAATAGTTTAAGCCATAAAAAACCATGCCAACACGTTGTCAAAACAGACAAAAATCCACATTTAAGCATTTACCCTGAAAACATTTATCTACCCGAACCATGCCAAAACATTGTCAAACCCAAAAATTTGACATCCCACCCCTACACTTAGATCATATGTTGTCCTCAATGTATTCGATAAAGAAAAGGACATTCAAAGCAATCAAAGAATGAGGGGAAATAGTAAACTCCCCTGATTTGGTGAGTAGTCCTCTAATGTACGGGTCCGTGCAGGTAGATGCGTCCTTTTAGCTCCAAATTCCAAGGTGAAACCTGAGAATAACCAAGGGAAGCACAAGAGTGAAGAAGAGACTCTAACGAAACTAAAGCATATATGAAAAACAATAAAAAGAAATAAATTGAAATCCATGGGTTGCCTCCCATGCAAAGCTTTTCTTTAACATCTTTGGCTAGACACCTTCTTGTATAAGTCGGTCATCCCTCCGGCACCTCCAGCTTGAAAACCTCCATGTCAAGAGGTTTGAAACCTTCATAAAATGGCTTTAAACGGTGGCCATTAACTTTGAACACTTTTTCTGTTTTCTCACTTTTTACTCTCTCTTGCACCATGACTAAAAGTATTAGTAACAACAAATGATCTCACCCATCGGGACCTAAGTTTTCCAGGAAATAACTTGAGTCGAGAGTGAAAAAGTAAGACCTTTTGACATAGAACAAATGTCTTATGAGAAGATATTTTGTCATGAAAAGCTTTGGTCTTTTCTTTATATAAATGATAACTCTCATACGCATCATTGCGTATTGCTTCTAATTCTTGTAGTTAGAGTTTTCGGAGAGTACCGGCTCTATCAATATCCAAATTTACATTTTTCACGGCCCAAAAGGCTTTATGTTCCAACTCGAAGGGAAGATGACAAGCTTTCTCATAAACTAGGCAAAAAGGGGACACACTTATCGGGGATTTGTAGGCGGTCCGGTAAAAACACAGTGCATCATTGAGCTTCAAACTCTAATATTTCCTACTCCGGTTTACCATTTTTCAAGAATTTGCTTGATCTCCTGATTTGACACCTCCGTTTGCCCATTTGTCTGTGGATGGTAGATAGTGGATATGCGGTGCTTTACACCGTACATTTTAAACAAAGTCGTCATCACTCCATTAAAAAAATGGGTGCCCCTATCGCTTATCACCACCTTTGGGACTCCAAATATGCAGAAAATCCGATCTTTCATAAAATCTGAAAACATCTTTCCCACAGTCAATTCTTGTCGCTTTCGCCTCTACCCATTTAGAGACGTAATCAACGGCGAGTAAGATGTAATAAAACCCAAAGAACATGGGAAATGGCCCATGAAATCAATGCCCCAAACGTCAAAAATCTCACAAGCATGAATGAGGGTCAAAGGCATTTGACCTCTACGGCTAAGATTTCTGGTGTGCTGGCAACGAGGACAAGCTTTACAAAACATGTATGTGTCTCGATCAATATGTGGCCAAAAGAGGCCACTCTCGAGAACCTTACGAGTTGTCTTTGTTGGGCCAAAATGGCCACCACATGCATGAGAATGACATAATTCTAAAATAGAAGTTACCTCATCATTACCTACACATCATCGGATGATTTGATCAGACCCTTTATTCCACAAGTAGGGATCATCCCACATGTAGTATTTGGAGTTACTCTTTATCTTGTCTCTCTTCGAGCTTGGTAGCTCCTTAGGTGTGGTCCCGGTGACTAAGTAGTTGACTATGTCGGCCTACCAAGAAACTGTGGTCTTCACCTCAAAAAGGTGCTCATCCGGGAACTTATCATCTGATGGTAACGACTATTCTTTGGAGATAATCCACTCAAGTGATCTGCTACTAAATTTTGTGCACCATTTTTGTCTCTAAGCTTCAAGATGAATTCTTGGAGCA